ACATTAAAATATAATGGGCCATTAGTTAAACTGGACTGTATTATGCCCATTAAAGATTGTTTCCAATTCATATTACGACCATCACGTAGTACGGCTAAAAAACTTTCGGGTAAACCTTGTAAAGTTATAGGTTTAAAAGCAATTTGCACTAATCCTACGTGTAAATAATTATGAGTATATTGATATCTATGGATATCCTCATATGTTAATAATTTAACAATCATATCATCTTGATTCATTGTTAAATTTTCTTCAGTTGTTTTAACTGATTGTATAAAACCTAATTCTTCAAAAGTACCTAACTCATATAAAACTTTTCGTTGTATTTTAGGAATTGTCCATTTATTTAGTAAATCCAACTGTTTTGGTATTTCATATTCTTCATTTATTTGATTTTTGACATTATTTCTATTATTCCTTTTGAACATGTGAAAATTCATTTGGAAAATAAGTGTTAAGTAATCTTATGAAACACAAGGCTCTGATACCATAGAACACAGAGAAGGCCCAAGGTATCTTAATATATATATATATATATATATATATATATATATATATATATATATATATATATATAGGATACCCGCGCAATGCGGCGGCGCCACATAGTTTTTTTGGGCAGATAGTTTTCATGCGGCGACTACTTTCATTTATGTGTCAGATAGTTGGTTTCATCATTTTGGCTGATTTTTTTTTTGTTTCGAATAGCTCATTTTGGTATTTTACGTAGTTAAAGAAAAATATCTTAAAATAAAAATCTATATAACTTGGATAAGATGGTCCTTTGATATTTATCTAAATATTCTTGAAATATATATATAAGTTATTGAATAAATATGATTATAAACATAATTAATTAAATATTAATTATTTTTAATAGTAAATATATTTAAGATTTAATAAATTGTGAAATACATTTTGGATGGATTTTGATTACATTAATAGTTCTAACTCCTCCTTGTCAATTACTACTATATTACCAAAAAAAAAAATTAAGAAGAAGACAAAGCTATCGAACTTTTTTTTTAACATATATTTTGATTGGCAATATATCAAGTGTAACTTGAAAGCCTATAAATAGGTTATCATGTTATCTTATATGAATATAATATCTTGCATTTATAAATATATATCATAATAAAAAGTTCATCACTATTAATATAATATGAATGTTTATAACTAATCCAAATATTATTTTTTTAAAACTATTTAGTAGAATTATTATTTTTTAAATTAAATAACTGTCAAGTAATAAGATTTTTTTTTAAGTTAGTTGCCTTTAAAGTTTTCTATAATTTTGTAGACTCAATCAAGTTTCTTCCACATAACTTTTTTGAAAACTCTTTAATATAATACAAATATATTAAATTTAGTTTACTTGATAATTATGACATAACAATTTAGTAAAAGTTATATTATAAATTCAAAAATAATATTGGTTTTGAGATTAAAGATAAAAAATTTATTATAAGTGGCTGTGTTTTCTTTGCTTTTAATAATACAATAAATTTGGTTTATTTGAAAATACTTACATCTTATTTTATTGAATAAATAAAAAAACAATGTTTCTTTTTGTTTTTGTTTTTTTTAACAATCTGTTTTTAAAAGCAATATACACCATTTCAAAGTTGTTTCTTATAAATTATATAAGCTTTGAAGCCGTCGATATAAAATAATTTTTATACAATGTCATAAGTGTATTCAACTAATAAAAAAATATAGTGACAATATAGTATAAGTCTCTAAAATACAAAAATTTATAAAAGTTGTGTATTAGAAAAATATTTTGCTTAGTATTTGATGTTAAAACATTAAAAAAAAATTCATCAAACATAAAGAAGTTATGAAATCCACCCAAAATTTAAAAGAAAATTTGTAATACATAAACATTTATTTGTAGTTTATACATAAATAAATTTAGTAAATTTATACATAGAAAAAAAAAACAAAATATGAAGGGTGAGCGGTAAAGGGAACAGAGTAGGAGTAATGATTATTTTTGTTTTCTTAACCATACCCTACAATAAATTTGAATAAAGAATCATTTCCTATATCTCACTTTGTCCAACAAACGATTTCCGATATAGTTTTCTACTATTAAATACCGTATGTTTTCATGTTGAGACTTCTCATAGGTACTTATGGAAGCAAAGAGGTATTTATAGTTTTCTACTATTAAATACCGTTGGAGATGGTCTTGAAAGTTTATACCTATTTATGATATTTCTAAAAATAAAAAGGTCCTTTTGGGTTTCCTTAGACCCATTTGAGCATTAAGATACAAAAAGGATTGAAGATAAATTACTTTATTAATTTATCATGTTTGATAAATTAATTAGAAGCTAATTTGTAGTTAAAGTTAAGTAATTATAGAGACTAGATTAATTAATGAAAGAGTTTAATAATAGAAATAGTCTAGGAGCGAATTCAGCAAGAAAGCAGTTGCTTTGGCACTAAACAACTAGGAGCCTATAAATAGGACTTAGGGATCAAACCCTAGATGTTCCTAACCATAGAAAAGTTGGCCTCCCCTTGCCTCCTTTTGGTTGATGAAAACAAACCTTTTTTGTTTCTGCCGCTGAGGTTGTTGTTAAGCTTCTGCTGTTTAGTTTAGGCGAGTTTTCTCACTGTATTGCTTATGTCATAGTTGTTGTGCATGCTAGATTAACTGAGTCTTATTTGTTGATTGTTGTTATATATGTTGTTGGGTTGATACAGACTCGTTAATATGGGTTGATACAGGCTCGTTGCTGGTGGTTGATACAGTCCGGTTCATTAGAAACAAATCGATTGAGTCAATACGGACTCAGAGTCGATACTTGGGGTTGATACATACATGGGGTTGATACGAACCCGTTGTTGTTATATGTAGTTATATATGTTGTATGTGATATTTTAGGGAACTCACTAAGCTCTGACTTACAACTTACAGTTTGTGGGGATGCGAAGGCGTGACTGTACACACACATCATCAATTTTATGATTCGAGATTCCCCGCTATTTTTCTTTGTAACTTTGGTTTTGAATTATGGTTTATAAATAAATGATTTTGAATTGGATGTATCTTTACAAAATGGATGTTTATTCTATTTTAAAAATGAAAATTTATTCTAGAAATCTGGATGTTACAAGCTGTTTGGTGATTTTCACTATTAGGGTATGCAAAAGCTGCAAGTCCAGAGATGGAAATTGATTATGGCTGGCTTTTGTTGGGTTCTTTGGAGGTATAGAAATGAGGTTAATTCAAAGCCAAGGAAAAGTCTTGTCCAATTCTGGTTTTAGAAATTCAGATGTATTCTTTTATTTGGCTTAATAGACGCTCAAAAAATTGCTGCCCAAGGTAACCAAGAGAAATGGCTAATTACCCAATGTTGTAACCTCCTTTTGCCTAGCCTCTCGCTAGGTTCTTTTTGAATATCAGTCTTGCCGTACAAAATAATAATAATAATAATAATAAAACAAATACAAGAATATGAAAATAGTTTTGAACTAGAAAATACAAACAAATTATTTATCTAACACAACTCTAGTAAGAACATGTTACAATAAATGTGTAACCTAATGAGTTCAATCAACAACCTACAAACGTTAGTGATGAGAAACGCTAATATCTTAAGACAAAGAACAAGTGAGGGTAAACAACAGAGAGTGTTCGTGAGATTCTAAAGTGTTTTTTGAGATTCTAAAACATGTTATGATCTCTCTTTCTGCAACAAGGCATTATGAAAAGGGTTAATCATTTAAAAAGTATTAAAACTCTTTTTGATATGGTTATGTATATAGAGTGAAAGGTTGAAGCGGAGAATGTTCAACGTTGTTTTACCATCATTTTAAGATATAAGGACCATTATTGTAAGTTAATTTATTGAGGGACCAAAATGCAGGCTGAGAAATAATTCAAGGATAAGAGAGGAAGTAGGAGGAAAGATTGAGTTTATCCTCCGCACCCGTTGACTAGAATGTTGGAAAAAGTTCGATTCTCATTTGGATCATTATCAGCGGTGACTCCTTTGTCCTGATAACCTATCAGTATTTTGGATATTGCTTTCAGTCATTCGCTCATGGAAATCCATGGAACAGATTGAGTTCCTCCTCCGTCCCCGTTGACTTGAATGTTGGAAAAAGTTCACTTCTCATTTGATGATCATCTGCTGTGAGTTATTTGTTCTGATAATATAGCAGTATTTTACGGCATATGTTTCGATTTTACTATAAAGACTTTCGCTCATGATATCTGAACCCGTATGAATTTCAATGTACATCAATGTCTAAGTCTGAAAAATGAATGTATTACCGATTATTCCTCGTATTGTTTTAGTAAATCTGTAACTAGGAGTTTTGGGGTTGAGGTGTATATGCGTTTGAAAAATGAAAACAACCCTTTTTGAACAGCATGAAAAATTCTAGAGAACCATAGCTTCTTTCCCAACAAATTGTAATTGTTGCGCTTAAACTTGATCTAATGTGTTTGTGGAATCAATTGAAAAACTAGAAACATGCTTCAATAAAGGGTTAACAAGAAAATAATGAATCAAAATGGCCAAATGAACAGCTTCACTTATTTCTCAGAAAAACTGGAATGACAAATATGGTTCATTTATAGACTGAGCAACAAACCCCAAGCAACTACAACGTAACTGACCCAAGTCAATGCCAAACTCATTTGACTTTTCTCATCTTTTCCATTAAGTTTCCTGGATTTTGTTGTAAGTCACAAACCTACAGTACTAAGAGACATTTATTTAATGTTAAACATGTGAGGATTTACTGCAAATTCTAAATAATTCCACATATTTATCTGATGAAAATTAAAAATTGATTTGAGTTTCAATTTATATGTATAAGAAATCGTATATCATATGTTTATTATTGAATTGTTGTCATGGCAAAGTTGCAGAATATACTACTTTCACTGCCAATCCAGTTCACCACCAAGGTCCTAAACTATTGTTGATATATTCATCAGAACAAGATCTATTTTGCTATATCAAGGAAGAACCATGGCTGATGTGCTTAAACATCTTGTCTTGAAGGTTATATTTAATGATATACCGACATATGATTCATCGTTATTTATGCAAGAACTACAATGGAAATGGAAGGGACAGTGGCAAGTGAATTTTAATCAACTCATGAACCACCTCAGAATGATAATGCAAGGGTATGAAAACGAGGAAACACGACACTTACTTAAAGAAATGAGGGTAATGTTTCGCGAAATTACTGGGCCAGATCTTCACATGAATCACCTCAACATTATTATGCTAGAGTATGAAAATGAGGAGGCTAACAAAATGATAAGGTTTGGAATTGGAGATGAAAGGAAGGACAAGATCTTAAAGATTATTGAGGAACTCTGTGTAATCAGATTTGGATCGAACGTAGAAGGAGAAGAAACTGTTGTGGGCTTTGATGATGAAGTAGAAACATTGCTTGATCAACTTACTCAAACTTCCATAAAGGAGTTGCAGGTTATATCAGTTGCAGGAATGGCTGGGCTTGGTAAGACGACTTTGGCTAGAAAACTATACAGGGATCCACTAATTGAATATCACTTTGACATTCGAGCATGGACTTGTGTTTCTCAGATATATGTAAAGAGGGATTTGTTACTTGGCATATTAAGCTCTTTTGTTTATGATCTTACAGAGGAGATCCATAAAATGAGCGATGAACAATTGGGGGAAAAGCTATACAGACTTTTAAAGGGTCGTAGATATCTAGTGGTGTTGGATGATATCTGGGATTGTATGGCATGGAATGATCTCAAAATTTATTTGCCAGATGACAAAGTTGGAAGCCGAGTTGTATTTACTAGCCGTGACATAGATATTAGCTTACATGTAGGGGCAGCAAGACCTGCTCATGTTTTGCGTCTTCGTACTGCAGATGAAAGTTGGAACATATTTCAGAACAACGTATTTAGAATTGGAATATGCCATTCTGATTTAAAGAAAGTTGGAAGGGAGATCGCAGAAAAATGTGAAGGTTTGCCTCTTGCCATAGTTATAGCTGCAGGTCTTGTGAAAAATCGATTGTCATTTAATTGGTGGTCAGAAATTGCTGGTAGTCTACATTCATTTATGGTCCGTGATCCAAACCAATACATGGACACACTAGCTTTAAGCTACAACCATCTGCCTTCTCACCTAAAATCGTGTTTTCTCTTTCTTGGTGTATTTCCTGAGGACTATGAGATCCCCGTGACGAAGTTGATCTGGCTATGGATTTCTCAAGGATTCATACAAGAAAGTGGAAACAGAATCTTGGAAGATGTTGCACATGATTTCCTGATGGATCTAATCAAGAGAAGTCTCCTAATGACTACCAAACAAAGGGCTGATGGCCAAATCAAAGCATGCCGCATCCATGACTTGTTGCGTGATTTATGCTTAAGGAAAGCGGAGGAAGAAAGTTTTTCTCAAGAAATCTACAGGTATGCTCATGTTTCGGCATCTTCAGATGCCATCACAAATATGTTACAAGGAATGTCATCAAATCCTGCTGCATTAACCACCCACTCAGGGTTGTGTTATCCTTTTGAGTTTGGGAAAGCGCTTCAAGAGGGTGTATTACTTTTTAGTGAAGCATACAAATCCCTTCGGATTCTAGATATTGAGTCAATTCATGTGTCCTTATTTCCTTCCTTTGTAATACAACTTGGTAATCTAAGATACTTGTCCGTTCAAGCCCATGATGGAAGTCCTCACGCATCAATATCAAAGCTTGTCAACCTCCAAATGCTGATAATATTGTCGAAGAAGAATATTGTTGTACCAAAATCCATATGGAATATGGTAAATCTAAGGCACCTTTATATCAAATCAGGGGAAAATCTTATGGAGGAGCCTAGTTTAGTACAAGCAACGGAGAATGATGATGGTGGCAGTAGGCTGGGTAGCCTGCAAACCTTGTCCCAAGTAAGTCCTCACTCTTGCCACAACATATTTTCTAGGACTCCCAATCTTAGAAAGCTTGGGTTTTGTGGACCTTTAATATCAAGCCTAGGCGATTTGGAATTTCCAAATACAAGCTCTTTGCAGAATCTGCAAAACTTGAGGTTATTAAACACGGTCACCTATCCTGAACCAACAAGGTCTTGCAATCCTATTATGTTCCCTGAAATGCTCAAGAAACTTACTTTGTCAAACATTGGCATGGATTGGGAAGAGATGTGGAGCTTCTCCTTGCTGCCTAACCTGGAGGTTTTTAAATTAAAATTCCATGCATGCATTGGAGAAAGATGGGAGACAAGCGATGCAGTGTTTGGACGACTTAAGATATTGAAATTGCAGGGATTGGGGTTAAGGGAATGGGAATGTTCAAAGGATAACTTCCCCTGTCTACAACGTTTAGTGGTTCATCATTGCTTAAAACTCAAGAGTATCCCACTGGAAGTAGGCAGGATCTTGACATTGGAGGTGATTGAGGTAAGGGGGTGTAACGTATCTGCTAAAGCCTCTGCACTAAAAATCAAAGAAGAGCAAGAGAGTGAAGGGAACTCCTTCTTGAGTGTCCATGCAACCAACAATGTTTCACGAAAACGCTCAAGAAATTTGATGAAAATTTGACATTCCAGGTTAGTATCTTTTGGATTTGGCCTTTTTTTTGGATATATATTGTTGCATAAATTTTAACCCAATGATAATACCAAAATTTGAATCATGGACATGGTCGGAAAACATACCTGCAAACTGTTTAGAGCTTACTTGCTAGAGCATTCATATTCACTCTATCACTCATTTACTTTATGATTTTGGTTTTATATTATTTCTAACATGAGTTTTGTTTATTTATCTACAGGATGAAGATAACTCGACTGGTTTGGGTTTCCAAATGACTAATCCTGCTTATGTCATATTCTGTGGACGTTATATACGAACTAAATAAGATTTTAAATTAGTGATGGACCAAAACACGCATGATTCATTATCGCCAGGTATGCATTTGTGTCAAAATTGTAGCAAATTTTGCTCTTTTTATATGTAAATCAGGATGACATATAAGGTGAAGTTTTTTCTGCAGCCCACTTTTATATGTAAATAAAGCGTTTTTTAATTTGGAAAACTGAAGTTTACGGATGGATGGATATGCTGGAGCTTAATTTGTTTCGGATCTTGCAAGTCTTCATTTTCATATACTAAATTTAGTTTCAACTGTGGGGATTGCGTATAGTTGGATCTATAATGAAGGTTGTATTTAGAATGTATCCAAACTTACCAAGAAACTACGTCTTCTCGTTCGAAGCTAAGTGTTTGACAAAACTTAGTTTCTCCGAACGAATTGATACCAATAAGCTCAAGATATAAATATGCCAGTAATTGAATCAATTAAGAGATTTGATTAGATGTCAATTCTATAAAAAGTTAATAAGTAACCTATTCTTTGGAAATCTTCTCTGGATCCCGTATTATTCGCTCCAATGTTAAGTGCTTGACATAAACTAGAATTAGATAGTTAATAGTTTATATCTTTCTACACAATCAATTTCCATACTTTGGTTATGTTAACACGTTGCATCATCTCTAGCTTAGGCTTAGGTATCTAGAAGTGATTTGTATTTCTCTTAAACTATTGCTCTTTCCATCAATCAAGTTTAACATTTTCCATCCAAATCAGTGTCTTACCTATTGACTTTTTAAGTCATCTCATAGTGTCTAACCTTTGAATTACTCTCTCTTTGTCTCTTTTACAAAACCTGGTTTTAGTCACATGGTGGAGGTCTTATACCTGACATAGTTGTTAAGATTTATGGAGTCATGAACAAATTGACAAGTTCCTAAGAGCTAAAGGACCATAAATGTAACTTGACAATTAACAATTGAATTGAATTATTGGGTCAACGTCACCATCACCGACTCTCATGTGAAAATGGAAATTTGTTTCGGTTGTAGAAAAGCAACATTAGGAATTATTTTCAACGTAGGCATGTGAAGGTGAATTTTTTGTGGCAGTCTATTAACAAAATTCAAACGGTGGCTTTATCAATTTCACATGTGTGTGAATGGAAGAGAAGGCTTACGACTCAAAATACTATAAATAGGTTTCTTCCTTTCAATTGTAAAATGTAAAACGACGATATAAAATCACTGAGAATAGATAAACAGTTAAAATAGCAAGACATTAATTTTTGTGCAGTGCCTTAATTTTTGGCAGCCAAAAATACGAGTGATATCTTAAAGTGAGTGATTAGATTACAAGAGCAGTTTTAGCCTTGTATGATTGTAATTTTCTTTGATGTTAAATAAAATCCCCTCTCTCTCATTTGCCCGTGGATGTAGGTCAGATTAGACCGAACCACGTTAAATATCATGTTCAATTTCATTTGTAATTTTCAGTAGTTTTATTCCGCGAGTGTTACCGAAATCGTTAAATATTTTTCAAGAGTGCTTAACTTGTTTTGTTGGATTCACAACAAACTAGTATCAGAGCTATGGCTATGGCTGAGATGGGAAAGTTAAGATCGAAAAATTTGATGGTCAAGATTTTGGTTTCTAGAAAATGCAAATCGAAGATTATCTCTACCAGAAGAAGTTACACCAACCTTTGTCCAAAGACAAACCAAAGGCAATGACGCAGGAGGAGTGGAACTTATTAGATCGGCAGGCACTCGGAGTGATAAGGTTGTCATTGGCAAAGAATGTAGCTTACAATATTTGTCAATGTGAAGACAACCTACAATCTGATAAATGCGCTGTCTAATATGTACGAAAAACCTTCGGCGGCAAATAAGGTTTTCTTGATTCAGCAGCTTGTAAATATGAAGATGAAGGAGAGTAGCTCAGTGACAGACCACGTGAACGAATTCAACTCAATATTATCAAGATTGATATGTGTTGATATTGGATTTGAGGATGAAGTCATGGCGTTGCTGCTATTATCATCGTTGCCCGAAAGTTGGTCCGGCGCAGTGACCGCCGTTAGTAGTTCAGCCGGAGGTGCCAAGCTATCATTCGAAGGTATTCACGATTTAATCCTTGGTGAGGATCCTTAATTTCAAGCCTGGGAGATTTGGAGTTTCCAAATACAAGCTCTTTGCAGAACATGCAAAACTTGAAGTTATTAAACACGGTCACATACCCTGAACCAACAAGCTCTTGCAATCCTATTATGTTCCCTGAAATGCTCAAGAAACTTACTTTGTCAAACACTGGCATGGATTGGGAAGAGATGTGGAGCTTCTCCTTGCTGCCTAACCTGGAGGTATTAAAATTAAAATTTAATGCATGCATTAGAGAAAGATGGGAGACAAGCGATGCAGTGTTTGGACGACTTAAGATATTGAAATTGCAGGGATTGGGGTTAAGGGAATAGAAATGTTCAAAGGATAACTTCCCCTGTCTACAACGTTTAGTGGTTCATCATTGCTTAAAACTCAAGAGTATCCCACTGGAAGTAGGCAGGATCTTGACATTGGAGGTGATTGAGGTAAGGAGGTGTAACGTATCTGCTAAAGCCTCTGCACTAAAAATCAAAGAAGAGCAAGAGAGTGAAGGGAATTCCTTCTTGAATGTCCATGCAACCAACAATATTTCAGTCACTCGCATAACAAACATAGGAGAGGATGTGTTTCAGTCACTCACATACAAACTTACGAGAGGATTTTTTTTGAGTTCCCAGGTTAGTATGTTTTGGATTTGGCTGTTTGCATAAATTTGAGTCAAATATTAATACCAAAATATTGTCAGTGATAGGACTTCAAACAAACCTATGCAAATTATGGACATGCTCACGAAATACACCTGCAAACTTATCAAAATCCTGTGCCCGAGCATTCAAACTTATTCATTTAACTTTATGATTTTGGTTTTACATTAATTTCTATCTTTAATTGTGTTTATTTATCTACAGGAGGAAGATGAGTTGATTGGTTTGGGTTTTAAAATTACTAATCCTGATGTGTTATTGTTTGAAGGTTTGTATACTAAATAATCTTTCAAATTAACGATTAGTAAAAATATGCATGATTTGATTATCTTCAAGTACATATTTATGCCAATTTGTTATCATCGTTTGTTCATTTTATTTGTGAATTAGGATCACATGTGTGGGTGATCTTTAATGCAGCCAGTAACCATGTATCATCCCTAATAAAAAGCAATTTTTTTTTACTTTGGAAAACTAAAGTATACAGATTGATCTACTGGAGCTCTGTTTAGGATCTTGCAAGTCTAATAATAAAAAAATAACTACTATTGTAGAGATTTTTGCGACTTACAAATAAGTCTAGGCACGTAAGGGGTAAATTAGTCAATTCCCATGTTAAAAGATGAAAGAGTGTTGTTGACTTTGTCCCATTAAATAGGAAGCATTTACACCATGAGAAGTAGTTCCAAATTCCACATTCTTCTTAATGGTACCTTGTATGCATTCTTTAAAAGAGAAATAACGGAGCCACAAATTTGTGTTCTTGAAGCATATTGTGTTTATTTCCATTCCAGAAACACATTATACATGCCATGAAACAAGTTACACGTATCAAATGAAAATAATCTCTTACTAGGAGTGTCAGTTGGATGCCATTAGACTCCGTGAAGTTGATTACAATTACTCAAGGATGCACCAAGATGATTCAAATTTTGTTCTTCTTGGAAAGGTTAGAGACATGTCTGTTATAGAAAACTTGTAATAAGTTCAAACAATGTGAAACTATGAAGGTGTATTTTGTTGAGCTAAAACAGATACAGAAAAACTTTAAATTCGATTGTAGGGCTATATTGGTTGATGTTTATGGGTTACCTCTTTGTGCTTGGGCTTCATCTACTTCAAAGAAGGTGGCTGCTATGTTTGGAGATGTTTTGTTTGTTGATAAAAATGGAGATGAACCGGGACCGATTGGAAGAATATGTATCAAATCAAAAACTATGCCAAAGATAAATGACACAGTTCATGTTGATATTGGTTAAGTTAAATACTTTGTTTCAGTTTCAGAAAGTGCAAATTGGTGCCTGTAAAGTCCAAGATGAGATAAAAAGAGATGGGTGTTCTGAATCTGATCAATCTGTATCGGATGATGACCTGCAAGAAGGGGAAGTAAATAAACATTGTAAGATTAATAATGTTGAATTAACTGTTAATCATCCTTTAGATTAAGTGGAATGTAATAGGTCTAAAGTGGTTAATATGAAAAATCAAGAGGTTGGAAGAGATGATCAGGGGGATGTTGGTATTGACAGGTACTTCAACTGTGACTTTTCACAAGCAAACAAACAACATAGGAAAGAATTAACAGGGATTAGGCAAAGGTTTTTCTGTGTTATTCACTTCAACAGAGGATACAATCAACGTACACATTTGCCTGGAATTTAAAGAAAGAAAATGCAAAAAAAAAACTACCAGCTACTTGCTAAAGACCAGGGGCATATCTGTCACGTGGCCTTGAATTATTCTTCCTACTCAATTTTAAACATGCAACAAATTAAATAAAAACTTCTGAATTATTTTAACACTTTCCCCCTTAATTCAGAATTTGGTGATTGCCTTCACTCCAATCAGATCTCTCATTTCTTCATGCTTCACTCTTGCCATTGTCTTTGTGAGAATGTCTGCTTTCTGCTTGGTGCCACACACATGACTTACCAATATCTACCAATTTTCAACACATTCTCTAATAAAGTGATACCTTATGTCAATGTGTTTGCTACGTCCATGGAACACCGGGTTCTTCATCAATTCAAGAGCTGAGCGATTATCAACAAACAGAGCTACAGGTAGCACCAGTTATTTTAGTGAGAAGTTGTGACACCAGTCAAATTTAGGTCAAAAATAAATTGATCAATAATCGTAATTGGGATGAACCAAGTGGTAGAGTTTGTAACAAGGTTTCCAAAAATATAAAGAACACTGAAATCCGAGTTATAACGAAGAAGTTATGACCAATCGAAAATCCA